TATCTATCTATCTATCTATCTATCTATCTATCTGTCTGTCTGTCTGTCTGTCTGTCTGTCTGTCTATCTATCTATCTATCTATCTATCTATCCTGCTTGTCTAGACCAAAGGTCTACTTCTGGGCGGTTTACCAATTTAAAAAACAATAAAACCAAAAAAAGTATCTTATAGATCCAAGGTGGCGAAAGTACAGTATAAGAAATTAAGATGGTATGACAACCGTTCCAGTATTTGAAGACTGCTATCGTATCTCCCTGCTCAGTCTTCCTTCCTCAAGGCTAAAAACGCCCAATTCTTCCAGCCTTTCCTCCACAGAAAGAGAATTCCGTAGCATAGCGGCCCCCAACCCTCTTGGTTTTTTTCCCCAGTGAATCAGCTGGCAGTCAAGAGGGGACCAACCGGGGTGGAGAGTTGACCACAGCTGCCTCTGTGAGATCAAAGGAAAGGTTTTTAAAACAACAATTTAGCAAGATTATTATTTCAGCTGGGACCATATAGTGTGAATGTCCAGATCTCTGTCCATCTCGCTCTATGTATGTATTTGTTGCATACGTTCCTCAGCTTCTTTCCAAGAATGTGACCTTTTCTCGTCGCAATGCAAGCGGGGAAAAAAACATTTCGCAGTAAATAAAATCAGGATCAAACTGTAAAAGCATTTTACTTTTTTTAAAAAAATCTCAGTGTGAATTTCAGACATAGGAAGTGATTGCTTACACATGGCCCTCATTTTCATAAGCTGTTATTTTCTATTTTTTTAAAGCACAAACTACTTCTGTCAGATTGCTACTGCCAGCATCGCCAGGATGGTGATTGGGAGATTTGTGGTCATTCTTGTCTTTTTTTAAAAATGAACTTTTCAAAGTTCTGGGGAGACGTTTGGCAGGAAATGACAGCCACAACTCCAGCTGCATTAGACCCATTGTTTCAAAGTGTCTTATATATCAGATTTGTTGTTGTTTAGTCATTAAATCATGTCCGACTCTTCGTGACCCCATGGACCAGAGCACGCCAGGCCCTCCCATCTTCCACTGCCTCCCGGAGTTGGGTCAAATTCATGTTGGTCGCTTCGGTGACCCTGTCCAACCATCCCATCCTCTGTCGTCCCCTTCTCCTCTTGCCGTCACACTTTCCCAACGTAAGAGTTTTTCCCGGGGAGTCTTCTCTTCTCATGAGATGGCCCAAGTATTGGAGCCTCAGCTTCATGATCTGTCCTTCCAGTGGGCACTCAGGGTTGGATAGGTTTGCTTATTCAGATAGTTATCTGTATCAGATAGTATACCCCAAAATTGAACAATACTCCTTGCCTTATTGCTGGCCCTTTCTGACTCCCTCTGAGAGGACGGTGATCAAATTCACCCTTGGCCCCACTTAATTGGCAATGACTGGGGAGAAGAGATGGGAATTTGCAAAGTTTTCAGCGGGGGATCCTGACGATGCTCGGTGGCCTCGGTGGTGCGGCCGTTCGCTGTCGCGTCCACTTTCCCGGTCCACCTTAGGAGCTGGCCATGGCTCCGTGCCAGAGACATGCCTGCCCCGTCTGTCGAAGCAGGGTGCGTCTCTTGGTATTTCCTCAGTTATTCTTTTGCATTTCCCTTCCCCGCTATTAATAGATTCCAAACCTGTCTAAATCACATCACCAAAGGGAGGAGGAAGTGTTCATCTCGATAAGGAAGCAGCCTGGGACAGAGGAGTGGACTCCGTGGCAGGAACTTGTGAAAGAGTCGGATATGTGCGGAAAAGGCAGGGCAGGGAGGGTTTGTCTTTTTTCTATTTAATTTAGGTCCTCCCTCTGTGTTGGTTGATGGATTGGGTCTTAAATAGATAAAGTTAACCACTGTTTATTATCACCCTCGCCCTGGAGAGATTCACATCTTTCAGCCCACTTTCCAAGTTTTCGCCCTGACTGTCCGTCAGGAAATGGACAGCCGACCTAATGGCCGGGCCACTACTCTGGGTGACTTACAATAAAAATATTCACAATAGAAACTAAGATTCAATAATAAACCATTTTTATTAAATAGATAAAGTTAACCACTGTTTATTATCACCCTCGCCCTGGAGAGATTCACATCTTTCAGCCCACTTTCCAAGTTTTCGCCCTGACTGTCCGTCAGGAAATGGACAGCCGACCTAATGGCCGGGCCACTACTCTGGGTGACTTACAATAAAAATATTCACAATAGAAACTAAGATTCAATAATAAACCATTTTTATTATTAAAATCGCTGTAAAGCGAAAATGTCAAATGAAATTTAAAAAACCCCATTGAAATGCATTGAAAACCATTCAGTGCGTTCCAATGGGCTGAATACCTGCTCATCCAGCAAAGATCCTCCATACGGTGGCCATTTTCTGGTGCCTGTTAAGCAAAAAAGTCTTCCTAAAAACAGCAGGGAGCCATTTTCTTCAGCCAGCGGCCATTTTGAAACCCGACGATCAGCTGTTTGCTGATCGTCATAAAGTGAAAATCGGTTCCTGAAGCAGGGAACCGATCATCGTTAAATGAAAAAAAAAACCATTTAAACCATCGTTTTGCGATCACAAAAGCGATCGCAAAAACCTAACCGTACAGCGATTTGCTCGTTAAGCGAGGGAATCATTAAGCAAGGCACCACTGTATTAGTAGTAGTAGTAGTAGTGGTGGTGCATCGTTAAATGAAAAAAACCCATTTAAACCATCGTTTTGCGATCACAAAAGCGATCGCAAAAACCTGATCGTACAGCAATTTGCTCGTTAAGCGAGAGAATCATTAAGCGAGGCACCACTGTAGTAGTAGTAGTAGTAGTAGTAGTAGTAGTAGTAGCAGCAGCAGCAGCAGCAGCATTAGTAGTAGTAGCAAGATCCCAAACCATTTAGGGCTTTGAATTTCAATCATAGCATCTTGAACTTTGCCAGGGAGGCCCCTGACAGCTAGTGAAATAGGGTTGCATATTGATGTTCTGATACCAGCCAAATGCACTGATATCTTGCACTTGCTGCAGCTTCCAAACCGCCTTCAAGCGAAGCCCCACATAGAGAACATTGCAGTAGACCATCTTCAACCTACTAGTGCATGAACCAATGTCATCAGGGACTTCTTGTCGAGTTGGGGCAGAGGTATGTGATCTGCCACAGTTGAAAGAAGGCAGACCATGCGACAGCCAAGATCTGATTCTCCATAGAGAGGGTTGGGTCCAGGAACACACCAGGTTTAAGAACCTGATCCTTCAGGGGGAGTGTGACCCCATCTAGAGCGGGTCAAAGGCCTCCTAGTCAATCTGGGTTGCCACCCAATAACAGGATGCCTGTCTTGCCAGGATTCAATTTTAGCCTGTTAGCTCTCATCCACTCCATAACCTCAAGCAGGCAGCATTCCAGGGTTTGCACAGCTTCATATACCGAGAAGTGGAGACAGAGTTGCGTGTCATCAGCCTATTGATGACAATGTACTCTGCACACTTTTGTAGACTACTATACCCAGTTGCTAGTTGGGTGGACACTGGGAGTTGTAATTCGGAATCGGGCAGGAGGTCAGCCTAGGAATTGTAGTTTGCTAAAACAGCGGCTGGGGAGTTCCGGGTTCTGTAGTCCAAAAATATCACGTTTCCAAATTCTCGCTTCTTGTGTTCTTATCATTTCTCCTTCCGATTTTAAGTTCTGTTTGGAAGAGGGTTTGTTCCCATGGTGTGGATTCAGAAGCTGCTATCCTGTATAAGAACAACCCTTGCTTCCAAGGGGCAGCTGTTCCAAGGTCGATTTGTTCTACCTCCCCTTATTTATCCGGGTTGATTCGCATCTCAGTTCCCCACCACAGCTGCTCGCCAGAGACCTGTAACCTCTTTTTTTCCCCCAAGATCAAAAGAAAGAGTGCTCTTATACTGCAAAGGGCCAAGTTTCACCAGAGGTCACCCTCTGAGATTTTTGCTTTGAGTATATGGAACAAGTGGGAGTGTGGAATGAGCAAGTTACCCGTATTTTTCTGTGTATAAGACACCCCCATGTATAAGATGCTCCCCCACTTTTCTAACCCGAAATTAAGAAATCTAAGTGGGGCTTAGCAAATGTAGGGTAAAAAGGATCAAGGTGCTGTAAAATGGCTTTGATCCCTGCTTTCTCCCTTTGTGCTAAGCCCCACGCGGCTTAGCAAAAGGAGGGGGAAAGGGATCAGAGCAATTCCACAACTGCACGGTCATTTTGATCCCTTTCCCCCTTATACAGCCACGGGATTACTTTGATCCTTTCACCCCTCCTTTTGCTAAGCCCCATGGGACTTAGCAAGCAGAGGGGAAAGCAGGGATCAAAGCGATCGTGCAGCACTTTGATCCCTGCTTTCCTTTTGCTAAGGCTCAGCAAGTGGAGGGGGAAGCAGGGATCAAAGCCTTGCAGGATCACTTTGTTCCCTGCTTTCCCCTCCACTTGTGTTTTTTCTCCTCAGCTTATTTCCATGTATAAGATGGCCCTCAATTTTTAGTCTAAAGATTTTAGGTAAAAGTATAGTCTTAAACACGAAAAATATGGTAAGTTTCAGAGTTGGCAGGGTGTCAGCTTCCGGACGATAAAGCCCTTGCGGTTTAGAGATCCTGACCATTGCAGTCCCATCTTCTCTGAAAGGAAGCAGGTTGGAGAAGATGGAGTGCCAGCCGTTTCAAAGATTTACCCAATTGTTTGGGTCTCTTTTAGGGGCTAGCAGCACAACGGTGGCTGGTGAGGCAACGAGCACAACCCTAACCACGGCAAGTCCAACTACCCAAGCAAAGTCATCGGAGGCTGCACCTGCTCCTACATCCGGCGCGGGCATCGCCGGGAGCTCTCCGTCAGTGACAAAGACAACGGCGAAAGCTTCTTCTGCCACCACCGTCAGCCCCGTGGTGACGAAGGGATCTGATGCCACAACTCCAAAAGGAACGACACCAAGTTCGGGAACCCCCTCACCATTGCCGTCAGGGGCTCGACTGACCACTGCCAAGCCAACCACTCCACCTGTAACAGGTGCAAGTACTCAGCACACAGGAGCCACTACGGCGCGAGTGACGCCCCCAGTTGTGACACCTTTGACTCGGTCGAGCACAGTGAGTTCAGGAGGCCCGGCCCGATCCACTTCCTCCAGCTCGGATGCGTCAGGAAAGGCGACGGGGACTTCTCCGAAGCCAAAGGAGACATCGCCGTCGGTTGCCCCAACAGGTGCTGAGCTTTTACACTTGAATGTAGTGTCCTGAGAAACTGCACTTCCATTTCCTGTGGTGAGGTCCAGAGGGTGGCCGGTTGCCTTCCACCAGCCCTGTTGCTGCCCTCGGATGTAGGAAACTGAGGCCGGTTTATATCCCAGAGTCAGACCCCCATGATGTACGACCGGTTCCTTGTGATTAGGAGAGGACATTTGTTATGAGAAGGTCTGATGGCCAGTGGGCTGGCTCTGATTTGTGATTGGTCATCAAGAAATAAGCACACACTTCATTTCCAAGTCCAGTGGCTCAGACCTGAAGGTCTGCCTGCATCATGTCTCTGGAAGAGCAACAGGTTTCCAGTTTTCCTGCAATATCCAGTTTGACCGTGGCACTCATATGCATCGGAATAAGGCATGGACTTCAAAGGAGATAGAGTAAATTGTAACAGTTCAAATTTCATTTAGGAGATGTGTTGGTATCTGCTCACAGACATGTAGGTGTGCCACAGGTGCATGCATGTTACGTCTTTGGGTTAATAAACATGTAAACAAAACTAGCATATAAAAGAAGCAGGTCCATAAGAGAAATCAGCTTATCTGTCTTGCTTTCTACATGCAAGCAGTTTTAAAGAAAAAAATTTAAAATGTGGTTTTTCACTGCGGCTTAGCCAGCTTGCAGTGGTTGTCCAGGCCCTTCCTTTCCGGACACACAAGCCCTGCTCTTCCAAGACAGTGAAGGTCTTGCAATTTTAAATGCCAGTTGGAGTCATTGTTCATGAATTGCAAGTGCAAAATTGCAATTGGAGACAGCTGTGTGCGTGCTTTCCATCGTAACAAGCCTTTAAAACAAAAACAAACTAAAAATACTTTTTGATGGGCAGGGAGTGGGTGTGGCACGCCAGGATCCCCCAATGTGGCCAGTTCTGGAAACTGTTCAACTCTTCCTAAGGGATATGTTAGCTTTGGATTAACCCCCCCTCCACCCCCTAGAAAATGGGGAGGCAAGAAAGCGTCAATCCCTTTCCATGCACTGTTCCCATTAATTATTTTTATTCTCCATCTCATTGGATGCAACCTGCATTTTTTTTAAAAAAAAAACCCAAAACAATAGGCCTCCAAGTTAGGATCAAAGATGCCTTGAAGGTCACCTATATTTTCGCCATGCATCTCAAACTCGCCCTATTGACGTTTGGGGCCTTATTGGGGTGAGGCCAGTAGAAGACATACTGATCTGTGTATTTTCCTTCTCTTCTCCCCCTCTGATCTTTTTCCGAAGCATCCCACACCCCTACGACGACGGCAGTCCACACAACGTCAGGGGAAGGGGTCCCTGCTGTCCTTCCGGGAAGTGACGCTCCTGGAAACGTGACGATGACAAGAGTGACCCCAGGTGGGGCGGTTGTGACCACCGCCCCGAAGCGGGGGCACACGTCGCCCGAGGGAGCAATACCGACCCCTGTGACAACCCCAGGGGGAACCCAAGGCAGTACCCCTCCTCCACCACCTCCGCCTGCTTTTTCGACCACCTCGGATTTGACCCGGAGGACCTCCGCAACCACTCTTCCGGAGCCACACTTATCCTCATCTCCTCCTGGCGGAAGCAAGCAGGGTTTATGTGCCGCCCACACCAAGGTAAGCAGACAGCCAGAGCGCGGTAGCCCCCCAAAATACCAGGGGGGTCAATGTTCATGAAACCGAGACCACTTTCCTGGAGCCACACTTATCCTCGTCTCCTCCTGGCGGAAGCAAGCAGGGCTTATGTGCTGCCCACACCAAGGTAAGCAGACGGCCAGCGCGCGGGAGCCCCCCAAAATACCAGTGGGGTCAATGTTCATGAAACCTGCAGAGGGTCACAGGGGGCAGCTGGCTAGGCTGGGGGCTGGAGGGGGGCCAGCCTGTCAACCACGGGCAGCCTCCATGGCTCTTTTGGCATCCAACCCCAGAAACTCCCACCCCCCACCCCAGCACGAGAGAAAAAAATGCATTGACGTAGAAAGAAAAATGCTGTTTTCCACTCCGGGAAGCTTCTAGGAGCAGCTGGATTATTGGAAAGAAGGCTCTGTCAAGCTAAAAATGGCAAATCAGAAAAGTCATGATCTGTTTCTAGTTTGGGGGGTCTGGCATGTGCACGCAGGTACACCCCCCACACACACACACACACACAAACTACCACACGCCATGTTTGGCCATGCCAAACCTGATTCAACTCACAGGTAGGTGCTGGAAGCAACAACACCAAAAAATGTCTATCAAATCAGCCAAAGTTAAACCTCCTGCCCCAGGTTAGGTTTACAATTTGCTGCAAGAGTAAGATATATATATATCTTCAGACCAACCCTGTGAGGTTGGAAAGGTTGAGAGAAAGACAGTGAGCGTGCATGTTCATATTTTATGCCAGTCTGTCTGATCTTCCTCTCTCATGCCTTTTTTCTTTTGCTGATGGGTACTGCTTTTGCTGAAATGCAGTGGATTAGATCCAATCAATTTGTGTGTGTGTGTGTGTGCGTGCGTGGGTGCGTGTATACATACTTTTGCTGAAATACAGTGGATTAGATCCAATATATATATCCCTGATATATATCCAATATATAGCCCTGATCTAGGCTATATATATTGGATCTAATCCATTGCATTTCAGCAAAAGTAGCACTCATCATTAAAAAAGAAAAGAAAAAGATAAGATAGAGGAAGATCAGACAGACGTGCGCCTAGAGTGGACGGGTCGCCCAGATAGGCAGGGTATAAATCAAATAAATAAATAAATAAATAAGGGTTGGTTTGAGGATCTAATTTATTTATTTATTTATTTATTGGACTTATATACCGCCCCATAGTGGAGGGCTGAGTACAAGTGAAACAACAACAGCAGCATTAAAAAAATAATCTCATCCTTTCAGCACCAGCAAGCATGGCTGAAGTTTGGGGATGGTGGGAGTTGTAGTCCAGAACTGTGTTCTGGAGAGTCGCTTGGCGAGTGAAGAAAAGTCTTGACCATTTGCCAGGAGGGGTTGAAGCCAAATGATGGAACCTGCAGGTTTCTAGGCTGGGATGGAGAAGCTATGGTCCCCCTGAAATGTTAACTGGACTACAAGTCTTATTCTTAATCTAGGACAGAGGTAATAGACAGTGAAAACTTGCATGACCTGGAGAGCCACACATTCTGGAAGCCCTGATCTACACTTTGTTTTATTGGAAGATGGGACCCCGTTTTTCAAAGGGAACTGACTTTTATGTGCCTGACACGTAGATGCCCCCTTTCTCTCCCCCCCCCAGATCATCTGTGAGAGCGTCAGACCGTCTGAATACCAGGGAATCCTTTTGACCATGAATGAATCTAGAACCTGCGTAAGTACATCAGAAAGCTGCTAAATGTGCTCTTGCTTGTTTCACTAACAACCTTCTCATTTAAAAAAAAGGCTTCGTAATTCTTCATCTAGTTGTTTGGGTAGCTCAGTGGTTTAGGTGTCTGACTGAAGAGCGAGAGTTTGGGAGTTCGATTCCCCCATGGAGCCTCCTGGGAGAAGAGCCAGCCTGGGTAGCCTTGGGCCAGCTGCACCGTCCCAAGGGTGCCCCTAGAGGAAGGGAAGGGTAACACATCTCTGAATATAAGTCAGAATTTACTTGACAGTGCGTCATTATTCCCAATTCTTAATCTGTTTTCACACTTTCTGCTTTATATATTACCTGGCTTGTGTGGCCGCATGGCTTACAGACAACATTGCTGATATTCCATGCCCATCGTGCGCAGGTGAAGGAGGAAGCGTCTCGAGAACCACATCTCGGAAAGATCCCCTGTGTCGGTCGTCTTCAGCTTTTCTCTGGTGCTCGAATCCGAGCGTTGAGAGTATTTTGCGAGTGCTGTCTCAGTGGTCTTTACAACAACCCTGTAAAGTAGACCAGTTGTAATATCACCATCTTGCAGATGGCGGGACTGAGGGTTAAATTCCACATTAGTCCTACCTGGAGTAGAGTCACCAAAATCAATGGAACTTCAGTTAGAGACTCTCTAACTCAGAAAAACACAATAGGTGGGAAAGTGACATACAGTGGCACCTTGACTTAAGAACTTAACCTGTATCGGGACTGCGTTCTTAAGTCGAAACTTTCTTCATCGGGACTGCGTTCTTAAGTTGAAACTTTCTTAAGTTGAAGCACCATTTCCCATAGGAATGCATTGAAAATTGATCAATGCGTTCTGAGGGAAGAGAAAAGGTAAAAAGGTAGGGGGAAAGGGCTGGAAATTCGAATTTCCCGCCCTTTTCCCCTGCCTTTTTTCGTTCGTAGGTCGAGGCGCCGTTCCAAAGTCGTTTCCAATTTTTGTGAATGGAGCCATTCGTACGTCGAAATGTTCGTAGATAGGGACGTTCGTGCCGTTCCGAAGTCGATTCCAATTTTTACAAATGGAGCCATTCGTACGTCAAAATGTTCGTAGATAGGGACGTTCGTAAGTTGAGGTGTTCTCCATCATCTAAAAACAAGGATGGGAATCCTGTAACACAACTAACCCAGGCTGTTCCTGTGAGGTACAAGCTCCCCGGAGTCCTTCTCACCCAAAACATAGCAGTGCCTAAACTTGAAAACTTCCGGAAACAACAGTTGCGTCTTCAAAGAAGGTTCAAGCTCCCCCTTCCGCTTTGTTTTGACCCCCACCCTCCCTGCAAAGTGGTTTTAAAATACTGGGAATTGCCTCCCAGCCGTTAACAGTTCCATTTTTGGGAGACGACATGTTTCGGCAAAATTTCCTGCTCCAGATCTCTGGAGACGGATGTCCTTTAAGAAGCTTCTAAAAACATTTTTATTCCGTCAGGCCTTTCAGCGTCTGAAAACTTAAGATCCTGAAGAGCACCCGCCTTTGACCCAATTGCCGCCTGTTTTCAGTTCTGTTTTCAATGTTTATTATTCAGTTCCATTCGTTAATTTAATTTAATGCACTTGATGTTGCCACGTTTGTTGTTGTTACTGTCTATGAACCGCCCAGAGTGACCCTTGGTCCGTTGGTTGGTGTAAAAATCAAACAAACGAACAGACGCAAACAAACGAATCGAGACCCAACGAATGGGAGGATTGGGTGTCGGTGTCTGTCCCTTTTCTTGGGTCTCCCCATATGACGGTCTCTTTTCTCTGCTGGGTTTTACTTGCTCATCTCCCAATTCTGCTCAAAGTTCAGAAGAAAGTCCAGATGAAGGAAGGAAAGAGCTGATCACCGCTTCATCGAATCAGAGAATAACTGAACTGAAAGGGGCCTCTAAGTGCCCAACCCCCTGCTCAAGACTGGAATTCAAATCAACGCAGATCTGACAGTGGGCGGTCCAATTTTCTCTTGAAGGCCTCCCTTTCTTGGGTCTCCCCATACGACGGTCTCTTTTCTCCGCTGGGTTTTACTCGCTCATCTTCCAGTTCTGCTCAAAGATCAGAAGAAAGTCCAGATGAAGGAAGGAAAGAGCTATGGGGAAAGAGCTAAGCACCGCTTCATCAAATAAGAGAATAACTGAACTGAAAGGGGCCTCTAAGTGCCCAACCCCTTGCTCAAGGCTGGAATTCAAATCAACGCATATCTGACAGTGGGCGGTCCAATTTTCTCTTGAAGGCCTCCAGTGTTGGAGCGCTCACCACCTCTCCCTTGAGGTCATGGGTTTCGTTGTTGTACTGCTCTAACAGTTGGGAAGTTTTTCTTGGTACAGTGGTGCCTCGCTTAATGACGATAATCTGTTCCAGGAAAATCGCCGTTAAGCGAAAACATCGTAAAGCGAAAATAAAAACCCCACTGAAACGCATTGAAACCTGTTCAATGCATTCCAATGGGGTAAAAACTCACCGTCCAGCGAAGATCCTCCATACGGCAGCCATTTTCGCTGCCTGTATAGCGAGGAATCCGACCCTAAGCACAGCGGGGAGCCATTTTAAGGACCCAGCGGCCATTTTGAAAACCCGACGATCAGCTGTTTTTGATTGTCATAAAGCGAAAATCGGTTCCCGAAGCAGGGAACCAATCATCGCTAAGCGAAATTCCCCCATTTAGACCACCATTTTGCGATCACAAAAAGATCGTCGTAAAGCGGATTTGTCATAATGTGGGGCAATCGTTAAGTGAGGCACCACTGTATTCAGTTTAAATCTGGCTTCCGGTAGTTTGAGCCCATTATGACATGTCCCGCACTCTGAAATGACCAAGAATAGAGCCTGCCCTTCTTCTATATGGCCATCTTTCAAGTCTTTGAAAAGTGCTCTCGCCTGTCCTTCTTCTATATGACCATCTTTCAAGTCTTTGAAAAGTGCTCTCCTATCTCCCCTCTGTCTCCTTTTCTTCAAGTTAAACCTGCCTAGTTCTTTCCGTCTTTCCTCCTAGGGCATGGTTTCCAGCCCCCTGATCCTCCTCTGAACTTGCTCCAGGTCTTCTGCTAGCTGGCTCTCATGTTGCAGAGCCGCGCGCTGCTTTACTGTCACCCAGCAAACGTGTTACTTTGCTGACATAACTTATTAATTCCCACCTTTAAAGTTGTGCGACCCTCTGATGATTCTAGTTGTGTCAGGAAAGCGGAGCGGGTGGATTCATGGTGTGTTAACTTACAAGCCTGATGCAAAACCTAACAAAGGGAGGCCACCCTCACCCGTTGGATTTGATTCATGACCTGCTGGGGGTGAAAGGAGGACGGGTATTGTTGCTTTTCCCTTCCTCTCCGGCTGCCTCCTCCATTTCTCTCTCTCTCTCTCACCCAGGACCACATCTGGGTGGTGCTCCGTTTGTTGATTCGAGGAGCATGACTTCATCCCCGGGGTGGAATGTCAGTTTTTGATTCCTGCCAGTGTGGGAATAAGATTAGGTCAGAGTGCCTGTTAAGTTTAGCCAAAGAATGTGGAAGGCTTCAAAAGCCGTACGGGGAGGAGACAGAAGCAAGAGGGGAACTCGTCAAGCCGACGGGAATGCTGTTATCAGAGCGGGTCTCATCCAGTCCGGCTGGAAGCGGACCTGGAGCGCTTGTTAGCGGTTTTCCCTTGGCATGCATACAAGAAAATTTTCCTTCGAGAACAACCTTTCCCTCTCGACTTGAAATTCAGATTTTTCAGAAGAAATTTTGCATATTGAAAAAGTAAAACAGACACACTCCGTCCTCGCTGTGTTGTGTTTCAGGGGTAACCAATGTCAACGTCTTCTGTTCCTCTAAGAATACTCTCCAGATTCCCTCCTGCCTTCTTTCCCCCTTCCTGCAATATCCCTGGCAGGGCGTTCTGTATAGGACGACCCGAAGTGATAAGACAAACATGGAAATAACAGGAGTCAGATTGACGTAGCCCTTTGGAACTAGACTTTTGGGGGTAACAAGGATGTAAGGAAGTTACGTTTGCAAAAGTACCGTAAGGAGTAAGAACAAAGTTACTTTATTGGATTTTCCAGTTTCTTCAGAAAGGTGATTTTTAAGTGGCCCTTTAAAGCATGGTTTAGAGCAAGGATGGGTGACTTCCAGAAGTGTGGAGGCTGGGTCCAAGTGTGCGCAGACACACATATGTGTGCACACACCCATCTAGGCCTGGGAGGTCCACCCCTGCTCCTGTGCCCTCAAACCGAACCCCATCCCAAATATTTCTCAGTTGTTTAAAGTTGAAAAACCCTTTGGTGCCTTCTAATGGTGAAAAGTTTAAAGAAGGAAAAACTTAAGAAATATGAGGGAATAAGTGTACTTTTTGAACAAGTTTTAATTTATTTTATTTTATGGGGTGATGCTGAGTACATTTGGAGGTGACATGTGGAACTTTGTCCAATCCTTGTTTATCCTGGTTTGTCCAACCCTGGTTTATCCTGGTGTGTCCAACCTTGGTTTATCCTGGTTTGTCCCACCCTGGTTTATCCTGGTTTATCCAACCCTGGTTTATCCTGGTGTGTCCAACCTTGGTTTATCCTGGTTTGTCCCACCCTGGTTTATCCTGGTTTATCCAACCCTGGTTTATCCTGGTGTGTCCAACCTTGGTTTATCCTGGTTTGTCCCACCCTGGTTTATCCTGGTTTATCCAACCCTGGTTTATCCTGGTTTGTCCAACCTTGGTTTAGAGACTTTTAGACAGAAATTATGCAAATCCTATGGCATTCTCATATCAGTCAGTGCCAATAAGAGTGGAATGTGAGGAATAAGTCAGGCCACGAATTACCTTTTTTTGGCAGTCCATTGAATAACAGTAACCAGTTATTTTATTAATTTAATGTTCCACTTTGTATATTGCTCTAGAGTATGCACGCTCTTTGAGTGGTTTACAACCCGCCCCACTCCCCCCATAATAAGAAATGGTGAAAGTAAGTAAATTAATGTGAGTGAATAAAGTAATGAAAATCTCTTTTCATGAGTTGCTGGATA